AAATCCTTTGTAGAAGACTCGGTTTCTCCATTGTTGCATATTCTTTCACCACCAACTCTAAGGCCGGTAATATATGTGCAACTATATTAGTATTTTGTCACTTCTTTTGCCTTCTTGATTTTCTAGTATGTGAATATTGCATGAACTTTTGTTAAAGTAAACTGAACCTCACCCCCATTGGCCCGTCTTGTGTTGGGTTTGTCCTCTCTCCTTACGCATACGTGCACACAAAAGAGAAAAAAACAAAATCACAAGATATCTTGCTTAGTGAGAAGTGGGAGTTTATGTATAGATGTCAAATGAGCCAGTTATATCAAAAAGCCATAGGCTCAGGTGCTTGGCACGGATTATGTTGGCTTTTCTGTTTTCTTAATGCTATTTTTTTTTCTCAAAACCAAAAGAAAAAAAAGAAGTTAAAAGATGCCCACATGTGCTGTGGGAATGCGAACATGGCGCATTGTGGCCCATGCCCACTAAACAGGACTACATCTCCCACATCTAAGTCTCTGTTGTGACAATAATGAATGATGCAGTCTCTTTTTGCAGGTTGCACTGCATTTACTTTCAGAGAAAGAGAAGAGTGATTTGGTTCAGTTGGTTAATTTGATGGTGTCATATGCTATAACGTATAAGAATATCAAATCCAATCAATCTGGTATCTCGAGGCATGAAGATGCTTTAGATGCATCATCACTTTTGCTTGACCCCCCCGTCAGCGAATTTATACATTTCAAGGTTAGCCTTTTTATTTCCTAGTCTAGAATGCAGTTGAATTGTTTAAAATGCCTGTAATTTCACGTCACCTTGAACATATGAAATAGGTTAGTGTTGATGCTTCCGACAACAGTTTCTTTAGATATTCACCATCCTTATTTTCTTCTCTTTTGCTCGAACAGGGATACAGGTCATGTCATTTCATCCTTGCCTTAGCTGTGAAGCAGGTCTTGGTTCATGAAGTAAGTGATGCATTATTATTATTATTATTATTTTATTTTTTATTTTTTGAGAACTCATCAGGTTATATATGAAGTGTTGCATTGAATGTGTATTTCTATGCAATTTGTTTTTACTCTCATCAACAAAGATTACCATATGTATATACATGTCAATTTAGTTTTCCTGGGAGATAGTGTAGAATTAAATTGCTCCTCATGCTTATTCTACTTGACTGGCTGCTCGCAAAGAAATTAGTAGAATTAGCATTGTTTTTTAGCTTTCTTATGTATATGTATTTGTTGCAAATAGCATTATTCCTCTCAAAGGTAAATGCAATTGCACAAAGTTAAAAGTTCAGAATAAAATGACAATTGACCACTTTAGTGAGATTTCAGTGATGACATATATAACATAAAAGTTTTCTTGTCCTCTACTAGGAGCTACCTAAAAGCTTGGATCTTGGACGGATTGTAGACCATGCATTTCTCTCTCACTGGCTGCTGATTACTCATATGTCCTATTATCATTGAATAGCCTGTAATTATTCTGTTAAATTTTAGTTACCTGATAAAAATCCCTTTTGTCACTTGCTCAAGAAAGATTATTTGGCTGAACCTTGAGAATTTTGACCTTAGCTGATTGAATATTACATCACCCTGCTTGCAGTATAACAATACACCCACTGAAGTACTTAAGATTATTAACTGTCTAAGGATACTAATTTAGGCATCTTTTCTGCTATTCTGTGGGCCTTCTGCCTCTCTGACAAGTACATAATTTGGTAGAATTATTTGTGGTTATTGTATATGTTTGTTATCTGTCATCATCCTTGTTTTATATATGCCTCTGGTAGTTTGTACAAACTAATGTGTTCATCACATTTTTAGCACTTCGGTCAGATCTTACAGAGCTACTTTTCTCTGTAATTTTAGTTGGAATTTATCAAGGTAATATCTTTATAATGCACTTTTAGGTGGAAAAGCAAAAAATTTTGCAAGGCAGCACATCAAGATCTAGTCAATCTACTCATGCACACACCAAAGGAAATCCGGCCCTGTCAAAGGATGAGAATTGTAGTGCACGACTATCTGAGTCTCAACATGAAATTGAATCTACTGAAAAGAAAATCCAGAGGAAAAATCTATCATATTCAGAACAATCTGAGCTGAACAACTCTTCCAGTTCACCCACTGTAGAATTTGGAAGGTGTAGCACAGCCAATGCGAAAGGCTTGCCTGAAAGGACTAAAAAGCTTTCTGGCGGCTCTCATAATTTTTTTGACCGGTATACATTTATCTGCTGTTGTATTGTTTCCAAATATCCGTGCGAATGTGGGTGTTGAAATTACAAAGGTAATATAAGGATTTTTTAAAAACACTAAATAAATTGGAAAATAGCAAAGAATTAGAGTTCATTTATGGAAGAATGTATGTTGTCTGTTAAATGGTATGAAATGTGAGACATTGTTACTTTACTAGTAAAGTTAGTTATTAAATCATTTCATTATGGGCAAGGTGGTTTGCGGTTCCTAGAAGCTTATTTAGTATTTCTATAATTTTTTGACTGATGTTTTTGGTGAACTCTATGAGTTTCTATTGCATGTCCTTTTTGATGAACACTATGTGAAACTATTTTAATTTAAGACTAACATGCTTCAGTCCTATGGATCATCTCAGTTTCTAATTGTAAACTCAAGAAGAAAAATAAGTTTTCCTTCAATCTCTTCATAAGTAACGATACCTATATATATATATATATATATATATACAAATTAGGGATTCTATATTTGGTAAAATACTAATTAGGAATCCCTCTAATTAAGCCTACATATTTACATTCCATAATACTCCCTCTCAAGTTGGAGCATAAGTATTAATCATGCGCAGCTTGTTACAAATATAATCAACCCGAATCCCATTTAGAGCCTTTGTGAAGATATTTCCTAGTTGTTCTCCAGTTTTCACATGTCCCGTAGATATTAAATTTTGTTGCACCTTTTCACGCACGAAATGACAGTTAATCTCAATATGCTTAGTTCGTTCATGAAACACCGGATTAGAAGCAATATGAAGAGCCGCTTGATTGTTACTCCATAACTTAGCTGGTGTTGAGGCCTTAAGACCGACTTCAATTAGGAGCCGATATATTCACATTATCTCACACACAGATTGTGCCATAGCTCTATATTCTGATTCTGCACTAGATCGATATGTAACATTTTGCTTCTTACTTTTCCACTAGATCAAATTCCCTCCAACAAAAACACAATAGCTAGTAGTAGATCTTCGATCAATCTTGAAACCTGCCCAATCTGCATCTGAAAAATATTCAATGTGGGTATATCCATGATTTCTGTACAGTATCCCACGTCCAGGAGCTCCCTTCAAATAACACATGATCTGTTCTAAAGTTGTCCAATGGTGAACTGGCGAGGAAGACATGAATTAACTTACAGTACTAACAGAATACGCAATATCAGGACGAGTTACTGTAAGATAGTTCAATTTCCCAACCAGTCTTCTATATTTCTCAAGATCTTCAAATAAGTCACTATCTTTGGTAAGTTGTAGATTAGGAAGTATTGGACCACTGCTTGGTTTATCTCCCAACTTTCATATCTCAATTAATAAGTCTAGTACATATTTTCTCTGAGATAAAAAGATGCCTTTCTTGCTTCTTGTCGCCTCAACTCCCAAGAAATACTTCAACATTCCTAAATCTTTCATGTGAAATTAGTTGTGGAGAAAGGATTTTAGAGATGAAATTCCCAGAGCATCACTGCTAGTGATAATAATATCATCAACATATACAACAAGGAAAATAATACTGGATTCAGACTGTTTGTAGAATACTGAGTGATCGGACTTGCTCTTTTGCATTCCAAACTTTTCCACTGCTTGATTGAATTTTCCAAACCACGCATGTGGACTCTGTTTCAAACCATATAAGGACTTTCTAAGATGACACACTTTCCCATACTCCCCCTGAGCAACAAACCCAGGTGGTTGCTCCATATAGAATTCCTCCTGGAGATCATCATGTAAGAAAGTATTTTTGATAACTAATTGATGTAGAGGCCAAGTATGTGTAGCTGCCATTGAAATAAACAAACGAACAAACGTTAATTAGGCTACAGGAGAGAATGTGTCAGAATAATCCACACCATATGTCTGGGCATAGCCTTTAGCCACAAGGCGAGCTTTAAGTCTAGCCATTGATCCGTCAGGATTGACTTCGACCGCAAACACCCACTTACATCCAATAGCCTTTTTTGTGCAGGTAAATTCACCAAATCCCAAGTACCATTAACATTTAAAGCACTAATCTCCTCTATTATAGCGTCACGCCATCCAGGATGGAATAAGGCGTCATGAACAGTTTTCGGAATAGTCATGGAGTCTATGGAGGCAACAAAAGAACAAGAAGAAGAGGACAAGTGATTATAAGAAATAAATGATGAAATAGGATAAGTGCACTGATGTTTACCTTTACGAAAGAGCAATAGGTAGATCAAGATCACTAGATACTGGATCCGATGTCGAAGAAGAGCTAGGTGCCGAACATGTATCGGGGGGGGATTCGTCGTCTGGAGTACACCTGGAGAATAGGTGGTGTGGAAGCAATTGGTGTAGAAGTTACGCAATAAATCAACAAATCATCAACCTCCCCCTTATTGAGAGAAGTAGAAAAAGTGATAAAGAAAGGAACATGTTCTAAAAAGGTATCGTCAACTGACACAAGATATTTGTTAAGACTTGGACAGTAGCATCGATACCCTTTTTGTTGTAGAGGAGAATAACACAAAAAAAATACATTTTAAGGATTTATGATCTAATTTAGTTACTTGGGGACGTACATCACGAGCATAACAAGTACTACCAAATATTCTTGGTTCAATAGGAAACAAGGGTTTAGAGGGGAAAATGATTTTGTAAGGAGTTTCACTATGAAAAACAGATGAAGGCATTCGATTAATCAAAAAATAGGCTGTGGAGACAGCATCAGCTCAAAATTATTTGGGAACATGCATTTGGAACAGGAGTGCCCTGGCTGTCTCAAGAAGATATCTATTTTTTCTTTCAGCCACACCGTTTTGAGAGGGTGTGTCAACACAGGAGGATTGATGAAGAATACCATTCCGAAGCATGTAAGTCTGAAAAGAATCGAAAAAATATTCTTTGGCATTATCACTTCTCAATGTATGTACACACATTAAATTGTGTTTTCATTTCATCACAAAATGCACTAAAATGAGAAAATAATTCAGAACGATTCTTCATTAAATAAAGCCAAGTTACATGAGAAAAATCATCAACAAATGTAACAAAATACCGAAATCCAGTTTGAGACACGACAGGACACGGACCCCAAGCATCTGAATGAACTAACTCAAAAGGAGAATTAGCTCTTTCATTGACTCGAGGAACTGAGGACAAACGATGATGTTTCGCAAATTGACATGACTCACAATCTAAAGACGATACATTTTGAAATTGAGGATATAATTTCTTTTTTTTTTTTTTTTTTGATAGGTAATCAGAGAATTTTATTCTTTAAAAGAGAGTACACGGGAGGTATACAATCTTTAAGCATGAAAGGAATAACATGAAATTAGGCAACCCTACGACATGATTTTTAGCCACTGCATTAAACCAAGTATACAAAGTCAAGTAAAATAATTCTCTTATCTGCTCTGTTGTCTTTGTTTGGTCTTCGAAACATCAATCGTTCCGTTCTCTCCATACGCACCATACAATGCATCCCGAGATAAGATTCCAAAGAAGTTTGCCATCCTTATTGCGAAGTTTTCTCCTCCATGCCCGCACCACGTCTTCTATACGTCTAGGTAGCACCCAATCCATTGATTGAGAAGCCAGAATACTGCTCCAAAGTCAACGTACACCATCACAATGAATGAATAAATGATCAATCGTCTCTCCATCCTTTTTGCACATATAGCACTCCTCGGTTACATAAAATCCTTTTCGTCGAAGATTATCCACCGTTGACACCTGCTCCCTCATAACTGTCCACAATAGAAATGCTACCCATAGAGGTAATTTACTTTGCCACACCATCTTCCAAGGTAATGAACTCTTCACAAATTCCAAAAGGGATTGAAAGTATGAGCGGACTGAAAAAATACCATCTCGAGTCAGCCTCCACCTGCTACAAGCACCATCTCCTACCCGAATTGCACCTCATGCAGAGCGGTAAAAAACAACGAATAATCTTCCAATTCCCAATCGTGTAAATCCCTCCCAAAAGTAATATTCCAACTATAACCCCCATTATGAATGTTTAATACATCACCCACCATAGCAGCAGGATCTAACGCAATGCGGTACAATGAAGGAAATCCCTCCTTTTACGGTTGATCGCCGCACCAACTATCATCCCAAAATCTGATATCAGTGCCATTTCCCACCACAAAATTCAGTGTCCCTAAAATCACCCCATCCCCATCGGATATACTTCCACAAGCTCACCCTATAGGAGCCATGACCCTCAACCATACACCAACCCCCCTCCATCATACCATATTTTGTCCCAATGATTTCTCTTCAAGAGCTCTCCCTCTCCACTCCAAATCGCCACAACCACTTGTCCAATAAAGCCTTATTAAACAAAACAAGGCTCCTCACTCCAAACCTCCCATCCTCATAGGCAAACAAACATTACCCCAATTAACCAAATGCATTTTCCTCTCCTCCCCTAACCCTGCTCATAAGAATTCTCTTTGAAGTCTCTTTAATCTATTTGCCACTGCAACCGGAATAAGGAAACAATGACAAAAAGTAAGTGGGGAGATTTGAGAGAGTGGATTTAATAAGAGTAAGTCAGCCTCCCTTAGAAAGATACATACGCTTCCGCCTTGGACATAATTTTTTCAACAAAGGTAAAGATGGATGTCTCAACCGACAGTGTGCTTCAAATGGAGTTAAGACATCGGAACATGCAATGGACTTGGGTACCTAGGTATCCAGAATATAGAGACCGCCTAATTTATGTCCTTTACCAATAATTTTCTTCGTCATAAGATACTAAAAAACACAGTAATTGGGGAAAAATGAGACAGAACAGTTTAAGGTTCGACTAAGTTTGCTAACAGACATTAAATTGAAAGAAAATTTTGGTAGATTTAAGACAGATGATAAGGAAATTAATGGGGTTGAATTAACAGTGTCAGAGCTGGGAATAGAAGAGGTAGAGCCATCAGCTAAAGTGACAGTGGAAGGAGATGTATGTGATTGAAAAGCAGAAAAGAGACTAGGATTACCTGTCATATGATCTGTAGCACCAGAATCAATAACTCATTTCGATGAAGAGGAGGGAAGGCATGTATTAGGTTTACCCGTCTCAGCAATGGTAGAGATAGAGTGAGCTGAATTCTTTAATGTTTTTTGGCACTGAGTGAATTTGGCAAATTCATCTGCAGAAACTATAATAGTTTGCCCAGAAGAAGTAGCAATTGCCACATGAGCTGAGTGAGACTTTTGAGATTTATTATGCTATTTTTGACACGAATATCTGTTATGACCTGGTTCATTACAATAATAGCATATAACACCCTCTTCATTCTTACTCTGATTAATTCGACTACCCTTACCTCTGCTTCTTATATCACCTCTACTACCACGACTGATAAGAGCACTGGAATCGTGAACTGATGAAGCAACAGAAGCACTAATCTCTGTGCGAAGTACTCTAGTAAAGGTATCTTGCAGAGATGAAATCTCAGCACTGGAGATATTTTGAGATTTAACAATCTCAAACTGAGAATTAAGACCAGCTAGGAAAATCATCACGGCCATTTGCTCCCGCTGAGTTTGTTGAACTTTCACATCAGAACTTAAAGGTAGCAAAACATTTAATTCTTCGTATGTTTGAGCTTGGAGAGACTGATCATGCTGTTCAGTACGGTAAAAACTCTTACAGATTTAGTAAATACGGGACACATTTTCTTTCCCAGAGTACATAAATTCTAAATATTTCAACAATTCCTTAACATACTCACAATGATTAATCAGACTAACTATCTCAGTGTCAATGGAATTTCGAATTTGTAAGAATGATCGAGCATCATCTCTTAGCCATGCTTGGTTGGTATTATCCGTTGGTGGATCTTCAGTAAGGTGATTATCCATAGAAATACTTCGCAAATAATTTCGAACTGTCCTACACCAATCTAAATAATTTGGACCAACCAACTTATGTTCGTTGATTTTGGACATTACTGGAATAACATCAGTCACAGCTAAATGTTTTTGTTTATCATCCATGATAACGAAACACAAGGTCCAGATAACTAATCAAAAACAAAAATAATACAAATAATGATAGCCCAGTCCAACTAAATCAATTAGCCCAACAATAATGAACCAGCAATTAAATGCAAACAATAATGGACCAACAATTATACTACCCACACAGAGAGATAGACTCACTGAACCTAGAATGTCGACTCCAACCCAAATAGAAACCAGAATCCAAAATCTGCCCAGCGCTACAATCGGTTAATTGGATGAATGGACTTGAAATCTTCCAACAACTTGTCGACCCAAACTGGAAGAGAAATACTGAATTGTCGCCGATGTTGGAGAGAAAAACCAAACAGTTGGCAACTACAAATTAAAGACCCAGATGCCGAAAACCCGAAGCTCAAACGCGACCCAGATGCCGGAAACCCGAACACGCAAAGATGGAAGCAGAGAGCTGTCGCCTACCACAAAGAGCTGAACCCACTGGTGAGATGGTTTTAGGGCACTGATATCATGTAAACTCAAGAAGAAAAATAATTTTTCCTTTAATCTCTTCATAAGTAACGATACCTATATATATACACACACACACACACAAATTAGGGAATCTATATTTGGTAGGATATTAATTAGGAATCCCTCTAATTAAGCCTACATATTTACATTCCATGACACTAATAAAGTTAGTCACTCAACTTTATTTTGTTTCAATTTGATCATCAAATTATTATTTTGTTCTAATTTAATCACTCTGTCATCATCCGTTAAAGTGACTAACCGTCATTGAGTCTATGTGTCAAACACTTGTACAGGATCTGTTAGAATATTGAATTAGCTTGTCACATGTGGAAAAGACTATAAGAAACAAGGGGGGGGGGGGGGGAAAAAAAAAAAAAAAAAAAAAAAGGGGGGGGGGGGGGGGGGGGGGGAATAAAGAAATAAAAAGAGAAATATTCATCCCTGCCAAATACCCAAACTCACCTGCTGCTTAAAAACACATTACAACAATATACACTGATTTCATCATATAGATACACTTATACATAGATCTCACTTTCAGTCACTACCAATTTCATCTTTCACAGGGGGCTCTATCCATTCTTGCTTTCCAAGCAAACTCTTTTTGCTCCTATTTAACTCCTGTTGCAGAACAAGCTTGGTTTGGAGAAGGTTCTCACTGTAGAGCAAATATATTGAAGAATTAGAAAACAAACCTTCCAATGGAAGTGGAAAGAGCTGAAATGATGGGTTTCAAAAATATTATCAAAGTTTGCTGCATTTTGTAACCAAAACACTGCAGTTTCAGCTTGCTTAATTTGATTTTAGAGAGTGACATTGTGGGTGGTTTAGTGTTGGAAGAGATATGCATAGAAGATATGTTCCACGGATAATTCTGTTCATCAAAGAAATCAGGAAAAAGAAATGTGACGATAGTTGCAATTTTCTCATCTTTATTGCATAGGAATGTCCTGTTGCGACTTGTTTCATAGGGAAGGTGGCCGTGAGGGTGGGGTGCTTGACAAGGATGATGTTTTCTTTTTTCTTTTCTTTTTATTTTTTCAAGTGTCGCGAGCCAATTCAACATTTCTAACGAAAGTCTTTTTCTTGTCAGACGTGCCATTTGACAAGTAGGCTTAATCATTTGTTTTTTAATTGATGATGATGGAATTATCGAAATTGGAAGCATATATAACTTTGGGGATCCATTTTAACAAAATAAACTTAGTGACCAACTTGAAATTTCCCTCAAACTTTATTGACGGTGTAAATTTTACGTAATTGCAGTTATACTCAACATTCTTCCAATCCTCATATTTCACATGTTTATCTCCGCATGGTTTAGTACTTCTTGAATGTTTCTTGTCATGGATACATCATTTTATCAACAAGATGTGAACTATTGCCACAAGTATTAGTATTATTTTCAATTTTATTTTTCGTTGAACTAATTGACATTCATTTTAATCTACCTGTAAACTTAGAGAGGCTTGAGAGCTTATTAGAACGTCAATAATAGTTTCAATTTACTGGATGTTACTGTGTAAGCTTTTGATAAAATTTTATATATTTAACCAGGTTTCGCAAGGTAAGCAACAAAGGTTCTCAGAATACAAACAATGTGGTACAAAGGCCAGTAACAGTGGAGAGAGATTCACGTCCTTTATTATTTAAATTCAATGAGGTATGGAATTATTTCATATTTGCTATATAGTCATTGTATTGTACAGATATCATATTTTTAGACTCATTTTGCATATGTGCTAATCCAGCATCACTCCTGTTCCACTTTAGCATATTAAGTTATGAATTCTTCACATCTTGAAAAATTTGATTATTATTCCTTCCGCACGTGATAGTCGCTGTTATCATTGTATTGTAAAATATCATATTTTCAGGCTTGTTATCATGTGCAGTCCAACTTAGTAACTTAGTTATGTTAGCATTGTTCTAGAAAGTGCCATGAGCTGGGGTGGTGGTTACATTGTGTATCTTGTTCATCTAATAGGTCAAAGTTAAATCGACTCCAGAAGTTCTTTTATGACCGTCCTTTCGAATTTTTTAATTAATTAATTTATTTTTTTGGCTGCTTTATTGAGAATCCTATGACCTCCAGCCATAAATAGTTTATATTTTTCTTGAAAAAATAATTCAAGGAAAATATTATTTATGTTCTGGTGCATCAACTGTTTTATCTAGGTCTTAGCAGCAGCATTGGAGAGACGTGTTTCTCTTGGTTCCCAAGTTGACATCTTATGGGCAAAAGCTTACATACTTTTTTCAATTGATGATATAAAGAACCTTACTTAGAGAAACAGACGGATGATAGAAAACTTTGAAGTTTTTCTCATAGTTGCTAATTTCATAAATGGTAATAGATTAGTGTAATTTCAATTGCTTCTATTTTTATGTGGATGGGCAGAATTACTGCTTGTGCTACAATGTTACACTTCTTTGATGATTCTTTCTAGTTTATGCCTATCCACATGCTTTATTGGTAGTTGTAATGTGAGTACCATCCAAAATTTCACCTCCTAAAATGTACTTGTGGGGTGCTCAGGTGTCTATTCCTATTGTCTGTATGAGGTAGGAATGCTGCTTGAATAGAATATTTTTAGTTTGTTATTTGGTCGCCCTTAATTTAGGAAACCTAATATAAACGAGTGATAATCAATATCTTGTTGCCGGCAGAAGCAAATGATAGTTCCGCCAATGACCTTCATTAACTATGTTAAAAACTTTTACCTTGCTTGGAAAATAGCAGTGTTCTAAATAGCACGCCAATGCGCGAGGCGAGGCTAAGGCACCAAGCACTAACGGACTTGAGGCGAGGTTAAGGCGCCAAATTTTTTTTTTTTCAAACAATTCTTTTAAGTTAAAATTTATAATTATTAAATAATTTATAATTATTAAATAATTTATAATTATTAAATAATTTATAATTATTAAATAATTTTTTTATTGATTAAAAATTTAAAATAATATTAAAATAAGAAAACGCCTTTTTACGCATTTGTCTTGCCTAATCTCACATTACTCTTAGCTTGGTATCAACGTATCGTCATGCATTTCGCCTTTTAAAACATTGGAAAATTGAGTTGAAGACAAGCATTGATCTTTCAAATTCCAACCCTCAAAATGCAGCCAAGCACCTAAATGTTTTACCATCTCCTCCTCACAGTAGTAGTACTTTTTTCGGTCTTTGGGTATAATACTTGTGTCCACCAGGTCTGGGGACATGGAGTGATTGCTAATGATGTAGTATAATACTCTCTTCCTAGAGTTTGATCCTCCTAACAACGAGCATTAATGCCAAGGGTTCTTTACCCTTGACAGGTCCAAAAGACCACGAAAAACATAGATCCTACACCCATCCCATGTGCATATTTTCCTTCATTGGATTTATGGATTTAAAAAAAATAATAATAATAAATAAAATAAAATAAAATAAAATAAAAAAATATTAACCTGGTTACAATAGCTGAGGAACTTCCTTACACCTCCATCCACCTTTGTACCTTCTGATGTGACTCAATCAACTAGCCAGATCTTTATGCACTCTAGCATCATTTTATTGCTTATCAAGCTTAATTATCATGTTGTATTGAACCTTACGTATATCTTCACTTTCATGCTATATATTAGACAGGACTTGCAGCCATCTAAATTTAGTTCTGAAGATATTGTATATCTCATTCTGCACATATCTTTTTCTCTGGCTTTGCTCTTTTTGGGTGGGGATGCTGGGTGGGCAGAGGCATGGTCTTTGTATGTGTATATTGCGGCCAAGAATGTTGGTCCAGGTTAACCAAATTATTATCTCAACGATTTTGTTAAGTGTGAAATTATCTTCCGTGAACCCATTAATCGGACATGCTAGTAAGTTATTGGGAATTGGAGATCTTCAGAAAAAAGTAGGCTTCTTACTTTTTTTCCCCTTAAATTTCTAATTTTATCAAATTGAAGAACTCCAATGTTATTGGTTCACTTGCAAGATGTCAAGAATCTTCAAGCTAATTCCTTTTTCGCAAATTGAAGCTATGCTCATCTTTAACATAAAAAAACTTAAACTATGTAGGGATTCACAAATGCTGTGAAGAGACCTGTACGAATTCGAGAATTCCTGATGTGATGTAAAGCATATTGTAAGCATCTCTCATTTCTTCTAACTTTTTCAATAGCAACTTTACTATTTTCATGTGCAATAGAATAGCTTTTTGTTTTTTATTACTTTCATCCATAAGCTAGAATTCTGTATCAAAGAAGTGCAAGTGGAGACATCTTAATATTTTGAAACCGTTTGCATTTCTTCTTAGGCAATCTCCATTTTTTTTGTTTTTTTTTTCTCCCCCAGCTTTATGCCAATCAATTGGGTCGAGAAATTGAAGGTGTGAAGTTCAGTCATCGAATTTACTGTTTGACTACTAAAGTGTACTTTGGGTTAATATATACAGATGCTGCGTCCAAGTATAAAGTACCTATTCTGCTACAAGTTTAGTTTTGTACTCAAATACATGTGCAAGTAATGAATAACACCTTCATCTACTTGTCACAGGAGTTTCTTTTTCAATGACATAGTGGCAATGGATTTTGTAGTCTCAGTTGGGATTCTGTTATTAATGTTGTCTCAATAAGAAATGTGAATATATGCTGAGTTTATGACTTTTTTATTATGTACTATTTAATGAGTTTTTGTAACTTTAACTTTTCTATATTTCTCATATATCTGCCGGAAATATGGAATTGTGGGTATCTTTATTATTTCCATACCAGCTGCACAGCCATAGAAGTTTAGAGTATAATATAAGAAAGAAATGTCCACTGGATAAGAATAATGCTACATCATAAACCAGTGCTCACTGGTGTTTAACATAGTAGCTTTAAATGATAATTCTGTTGGCGCTATATGTCACTACTTATAGGATGATATGGCAAAAGTGCATTAAATGTCAGTCATTTATTTTTCCGTTGCGAAAAGTGCAATCGACATATAATTGGTATGCACACACGATGCAAATGCTACCGTAATACAATGCGAGCAATCATCGATTTACCTAGTTTGACGATATGTCTATATTCACAAGGCTAATTACAAAACAGCCTTTTCCTTCCAACAATAATAGACATAGGGGACTAGATGTTCATAATATCATTAAGAATTTAATTATTTTTTATTTACCTAATGTTCTGGTCGATTTCCCGTCCAAAGTGTTTTTGATGTAATAAATTGACAATTTGTTTGCCATTTGAATAAATTATGTTTTCATTGTTTATTTGTCTTATTGATTGAAGTAAATGTTGCCCAACATTATTCAAGTGATAGGTGTCTTTGATCACTTTGAAATAATAGAAGTTGGGGTACTTGCTTGGTGAAGTGCAATGGGCACAACTTAGATGGCACAATACTTGCACCTTGATTGAGAATTGTACGAGTTCGTGATAGATGAAACGGGTTGCCATCTTGTTTTGGTAATGTCGTAGCTTCAATTATTTCAACAAATGGATTGCATGATTTGTCCTAGCCGCACAATAGTATATATAGTATTTTTGGGGAGAATTTTTTACTAAATATCCATCAATGGAGCACTAAAACTAAGTCCATGCTTGGTTTTGGTAAAAATAGATTTTTATTGAATATTGATAAAAGTTAGTGAAATGTATAGTTGAAAAGTTGATAAAAACTGTAGATTTCATGAAATATATAGTTAAAAATGAGTTCGGGGAAAAATAAAATGGAATGTTCATATTATTCCATTAATTTGTACATCATACGTGATTTTCGTTCGAAATTTTGATTAAGAGAAAATCAAAATACTTATTTTTCCCAATATTTTAATATAAGCCAAAAAAATAAAAAAATAAAAACAAATATAGAGGATCAATAAATGATTTTTCTATCATTTTTACGTAAGCAAAATATTTTTCTAGGTTGGGTTGAAGAGTCTAGGAAGGTGGCTCGTTATTTTCTTTTCTTATGTTTATTTTTCATTAAAAGTAATATGTTTAAAACTTGTCATTCTACGTATTTATTTATTTATTTTAACTAAAAATGGCAGTGGACTGAAAAAATACAATTGAAATGTTGAGGTTTAAAATATTCATTATTAAAGTTTGAGTGTTCAAATATAACTAACATAAAAGATTTAGAACCTCCATGCTATTTTTTTTGAGAAATGTTCATAAACAATAGCCCAATTGCTTTGTTAATCAAAAAAACCTAATTGACTCAAATTGCGTCGCGTTAATTACTCTGATTACCCTAAATTTTACCCAAAAAATACATGTAAACTCCTTAGAATTGATTCCGCCCGCCTCTCCGATCTCGAATACTGCTGCGAATGGTCAGTCACTCTTACCTTCTGTATTATACATATGGTGAAAATATTCATTTTAGGGGTTAATTTTATTGGGTACAAATATTAATTATGTTTTTTTTTTTAAGGTTTAAAAAAGATAATGAGGTCAATTTATTGCATTTCAAATATTTCTGTTTTCGAAAAATTTAATTCTTTTGGGTTTTATTTTATTTTAATTTGAGATCGCACTGATCGTTTTAAGTGATTTATAGTGTTATGCATAATTGTTCTTGTGTAATCATGAATTATTGTAAATATTATTCTTTTTTTTTTTTTAGATTTACATTTATCTTAAATTTGAGTTATAGGGTTTGAAAAATTGATCAATGTCTTTTTTTGTGAAGCAGAAATTGTATGTGAAATGAGAATTAAGGATTGTTGTTGAATTCTGAAAGTTAAGTATGTCAAAAAACAAAGATGAAAGTGGCGGTCAGGATGCCGCAGAACGAGTCAAGGCTGCGGCTCTATCGGCTGCAAAGGGACTCAGCCGCGCACAGGCCGAGCGTGCAGCTGCAGCTGCTGCTCGTAATGTGAATGCGTATGGACAGAAGGAAGAGGGGCCGAGTCGGTGGCAAGAGCGAAAGGAAGCTAAGAGGCAAATGTATTTGATGAGTACTGAGAAACAAGTGAGATTGGGCGAAAGGAAAGACCCCAAGTCCTTGGCATCTGCCCTCGGGGCTGCTTCCCAATGCCAGAAGTGCTTCCAAACAGGGCATTGGACGTATGAGTGCAAGAACGAGAGGGTTTATATCTCGAGACCATCACGTACACAGCAATTGAAGAACCCGAAACTGAGGATGAAGCCATCTATTTCATATGATTTGGACAACCCGGCTATTCGGGCAGAAAAGAATGAAAAACATGAGAAGAAGAGTAAGAGGAAGCATAAGTCGGATACCGAGTCTGATAAGGATAGTGAGGCTTCAGTATTTGAGTCAGACAGTGCTGTTACTGGATCAGATGATTCTTCTGGGGAGAGTGAGTCGAGTTACAGTTCATCCACAGATTCGGAGGAAGAGAGGAGGAGAGAACGGAAGAACAAAAAGAAGAAGCAAAGGAAGAGGAGGCACCAGAAGTACAGCTCCTCATCCGAGTCCTCCGATTCATACACGGATTCAGAATCCGATTCCAAGGACAGAAGCCGGCAAAGGAAGAGTAGCAGAAGGAGGCATAGCCGTAAGCATTAGGGCAATCGAGTTTATTTAGCCAGTAATGTGGAAGTTTTTAGCAAAGGGGCTCGAGATATTGGATCACAATCCTTTCGATAATCATAGCAGAAAAATGTCATTCTAATGTTGATCCTTTGTTCATGCTACAGTTGTAAGATTTTCTCAACAGCTCGACCGAAATCGTCAATTTCTTTATATTATTTCTTCGTCAGTTTGATTATCATGAAAGTGAGATGTTATTTTGCTCAGTTGCCTATAAAGCCTTATCATATCTATGATTTTTCCTAGTTTTTCTTGTAGCAAAGCCAATGAATTTTATGTATTATTCTCATGAATGCTACTACTGTTTTGATTTATTGATGATTGCAAATGACAATATTTGAATTGTAAAATTGTCTTCTGTTAGTCGTTAGATTTTAGATCAAAATTTGTTGGTGATGTTTTTTCCTATTGGCCTCTCATTTAGGACCAGAATGAATCGATCCCCTGTTCAGTTTTATTCACACTAAAGGCTCTTAGCTTTGAAAGGTTAGAGATGAGAAAGCAACAAGAGCATTAGATTAGGAACCATGTTTACTACTTCCCAATTTATATTCTATATTATCTCTTTTATATTTATTTCGTGTGTTCTACTTCATTTCGTAAACATAAGTTCCTAAACGAAACTGCCACTTGAAGTAGATGAATGGGCTTGGATGGCGTAGATTCTCGTTCGCAGTGGAGGCTTTTGTGTGTGGGTGAAGGGAAGGAGATGAATGGGTTTGAAAATTAGGGAGGGTTGTCATTTTATGCGACCTTAGAAGTCAATGGGATGGAAACCTTTTGCACGAGGTTGGGTTTCACAATACTCATTATACATGACACCCTTCGAACACTCCGAGAAACATGTTTGACATGCCATGTTTTATATCTTATTTTTCATAACTTTTAGTATTCGTGAGGTGTGGTACATGTCTGCAACACATCAAAATCACAAGAAAGCCAATTTTGTACATTTTGGTATATAAAATTAAGAAAATTTTTAAATAGTAACTGAATTAAAAAGAATTGTAGGAACTTCATGTTGAATAGTTGGACGTTGTTTCCACTGGTGATACAAAGTACAACAAATAGTCAGTCGTATTCAAAAGATTTCCCCTCCAAAATTTAAAATCAAAGAGAAAATGTGTTGATCTTTAGGAAAAACAAAAATGTAAAGAATATAAATGTCTATTTTTTAATAAACTTGTCTCCACAGGCCAAATGTGTAAAAAATGTAAAAAGGGCTATGCATCAGATAATTTAATTAGATCAACGCTGTGAGTATTTGTAGCCATGAATTTATCACACCATTTCACCAAATTTCCAAGCACTTTAAGGTGTGTTTGTCACCCATTATTTGGGAAGAATGTATTATGGAATAATGATTGATGTTGAAATGTGTGGTTAAAAAAGAAGGAAAAAATTTTAATTTATAATATTATTTTAATAAAGAATGTGTGATTGAAAATAAGTATTGTAAAAAAAGAAGAATGAGAAAGAATGGTTGACAAACAGTTGCTTAATTTGGACTGTGATGAAAAGGACAGATTTGCCTTCGCCTATGTTAAATTTGAAGTGTTTTACACGCTAGATACTCGTTTCGTAAAATATGGTCTTTCTGGAATTATGAATTTAATCGAAATCTCACCAATGCGGTCATGTTTGCCATAAAAAATACTATTAGAGATGTGGTGCTAAATGTGAAGTTATTTGATTTAAATGTTCACTATGATAGAATGTTTGCTACTGAGTAATTTTCTGGGTTATTGTTTCATTCAAATTCCAAAATATGTACACAATAATCTTCTCTACAGGAGCGAGGAGGCAAGTGTAATTTTCTTAAAGAATTTCTTATCACAGAATTTGAGTTCTCAATATTCCTTCCCCCGCCCCCCCCCCCCCCCCCCCCCCCC